TATTATCATAGGCTTCCAATTGCCATCAGAATTCACACATGTAGGGTAAGTTTTTCAAAAGGTTGATCCTTTGATCCTTCTTATTGTCTTTCACTTTCTCCTTTAATACTTTTCCTTCTGATTTTAAAGTACTCTTTTTTTTTTTCACATTGCTTTGACAACACTTACTCTGTTCAATTAATCCCAAACATATCCTTGCTTCTGCGTCAGTTACACTATGACACACTTAAATCAAGGAGTTGCGTTTTCCCATACCCCATTTCAGCACCATCACGTATGGAAGTCTGAAATCAATTAAGGTTTCAAACACAGTAGATCTATGGATAGTAAAGAATTAATCTAAAATGAATATGCAGATTATCTAAACACTAATAATTTACTGGAATTCATTAATTTAAGATGCTAATCCAATGGTAAAAACACACGTGTCCAGGATGCTTCTATAGTCCTCAAAATGAGACATATTCAACAATATTATGAGTTGTTTAGTAAAATGTTGTGAAAGACAGGACAAAGTCTTATTCTGATGCAACTACTTGTAAAATGTAACATGCTGTTACAAGCTGTAAATGTGTCACTGTGAAAGAATGGTCAAAATACTTCCATCTTGTAATATCAAATTAGATGAAACTGGAATATTCATTTAAAAAAATCATTTGCCCCTATGCATAAAATCTTTTTAAGGAATCAACATTTTAGTGTTTTTTTTAAAAACAACTTAAAAACAACAACCTTAGAATAGGGATCAGAGGTGTTTCTGTTTAAGTCTATCATTTCCACGAAAACACTAAATGCTTTTGTTTAGGGAACCTGTCCATTAAACCCTAACCAATAAGCTGCATCAGAAGAAGTCCATGTCACATATTGTGTGTACATACACACAGTTACAGAATATACAAGCACAAAACATTAATACAACAGTATCATCCAACAGCTCCCAAAACAAACGACACACATTAGCATGCTGGCACACTCGGTGGCAAACCCTTTTCTTGCTGGGTAGAGTCTTTATCATAGAAGAGATGCAGAATATTCATTGGTTCCAAATCCTATAATCATCCAACAACACTACGTTACCGACAAGGAGTTCATAACTTATACTTTAAGTTCACTTAACTAAAGCAATCATAGAAAATCTTACCATTCTTACTATTTGGCCAAGAAGAGTTTTCTTCAAGTATTACGCTCTTCAGGCTTGAGCATCATAATTACAAATATCTCCATCTAGAATGTTTCCTTAAATTGAATTACCATAGCTGTGTGGATCTGCTGCCCTAAAACCTACAGTGAGGAACTTACTAAATATACATATCATGGGAACGGAGGAGTTTCAGACAGTATTACTCTTCTCAGACTGCAAAGAGTTAGTGCATCATGTTCCAAGTCCTAGGTATGGGGCAAATTTTGACCTCCGATACATCTAAGAACCCCATTCAAAGACAGAATATCTCAAGATTTGCCCAGATGATGAAAGTTTGGACTTTGGATCATAATTTTTGGTATCAAACAAAGCTAATTCCTTCTTCCTTAAATACGCTAACTATAAAAATAACAGTTATGAAAAGCACGCTAAATTGGTCAATGAGTGCAGGGAGCATGCAGAGTCTCCCTCTATTTTGCAGCATTCAAGATTACCCCTACATACTGTGTTGCTATATTTGTTACAGATGCTAATGTCTTTCTTGCAGCTCATACAACAGGTACACCATCCACCTTTTCTTTGCAAAGGCATTAACTCTGAGACTTCCCTGCCGTGTCTCTGCGTGAAGATAAGTTCAAAGGGCAAAATACATACAGATCACCACCCGTCAACCCTGGCTGTATTATAAACCTTTACAGGAAACTACATTTCCAATTTGTATTTTAAACTATGTTAAAGCATCAGAACACTCAGCAAGACAAAATACATCATATTATAGACTACTAACTACAAGTTAGTAGTACAAGTGCATTGTTTTCAAATTTTTGAGCTCTGTACTGATCTCTTTCCAGGATCTATAAAGTAACTCTACTGATTAGAAGGCATAATCATATCTACCAGCATAACAAACAACACTTTTTTTTTAACTTCTATTTATTTTGAATAAAAACTTTGATTCTGTCTCCTTGTTTAACTCAGCTGAAAAGCCCAAATCCAACAAAGCATTTGAACCCACGGTTAACTTTAAATAATTAAATAAATTACTAAATCGGTCCACAAGTGATGGACAAGGACACAAAGTGAGACAAGTAGGTCTACTCACCTGCTTGTCTGGTTCAACTCTAGAATGTTAACACTTCGCAGAACCAAGCCTCTAGGAACACTCAAAATTCCCATTAACATCACTTGCCTGCAAGCTCCTCAGGCATGGACTGCACCTATCTGCTACAGTGTCTGTTTGACACAGTTCCATTTCAGTGAGAAATACCTTCATGCGACTGCAATCTGAGTGCTAAAAAGTGTTGGGGAGTGTTGGATGCATCTGTGTGCAGTTAAACTTGCATGATTTCAACGACTTCAGAACTCATCAGGATGAGAATATATTTTGAAGTAATGAGAAATAATAGCATTTAATAATTTCTTAGCTAGTATATATCTAATTTTGCTGATCTCTGAATAGACTTGGGACTTTTAAAAAACAAAAATCAGTAATGACATAAATCCATCATTCAAACATTTCAGTGCAATTAATCTTCAAAATTACTCTTATAATGTTAGAGTACAAATTTGGCAGAAAAAGGGCTCAGGAATGTTTTATATGAAGAAAATATCACTATGTGCATGTAATTAAATAATACTGTATTTGCATACCATAAGGCAGGCAGAATAGATTAAAAAAGGAGGATAAAAATCAAGTCAATTAAGAACATTAACACAGTAAGGTTCCTCAATATAGACCGAAAACAGTTGCTTTATCACTAGCCATGGGGGAAAAACACAAGAAAACACAAAAACCTCTGTAACCATAATTTCACCACAATTATTTGTTATCGAAAATACAGCAGAATTCCATGAGGCAGTGCAAACTCTTAGATGTCAGTCACACATGTTTCTCACCAGTTTAAATAGAACCTTTGATATCACTCACCTTTGCTGAATTTTTTATTTCCCATGCAGTGGAGAAGTGATTTGTGGGAGAGAGAGGAACATAAAAGCTTTAGATTGGTAAATTTTTATGATTCATCATTATTTCTAATGCATTAGAAAAACCTCAACTGAAATCAAAACTTTTAAGAGTTCTAGCTGAAACCGAGGGAGAACAGTAGCTTCTATTTTAATCTTTTTTTAGAAATAGCATGGTCACTATCTCCTTCTCAAGTTCAGAAGAATAGGTCAAAATATTATCAATTCCTAATCCTATTTCCAGCACCATAAGTCTTTTCAACAAGTATATTCTATAAACACTAACACTCTAGAGAAGGAAAACAACAGAATCTAGTTTTCCATCAGTGGAGAAAACCAGTCACTAATCAAACAAATCTAATACAGCACAGGTTTGCACACTGTGTATCTGGGCATACTTCACTTCAGTTTTCCAAGAGAGGAAGTCATCTTGAACATCAACTTTCCAAGTGCATTTGCACTCAGTGTTATACTGTGGCAGGCAAAGCACCGCGTATATGTAAAAATTAACTTATCCAGGGAATGTTGGCATTTCGGCTATGCCAATTCCATCTCTAAACAAGATCTGGTTTCTTAACAATGCAAGACAAAATTCCTTATAAACGTGCTCTCAATTATCCAATTAACGTATTATTGCAACAACGGTAAACCGCTGGGCTTACCGCAGCAGTACAAAGTTTAAATTCATTTAAGTGTTGGATTAACCACAGGTTCTTCTGTTTATCTCAGACATTGGAGGTTTGTGCCTCTTTCCTTCTTGCGTTTGCAAGTTTCTTTGTCCCAGGCAATTTACCTTTCACGTGATTTACCACGTCCAATAAAGATTTCATCTTGAGGATTGAATTAATAAAACAGAGACAATACATATATCCTCCTTACTATTTGTTACCTTTGTGATACTAATTTCTTCTCTGCCACACATTTTCTCCTGGAGATATAAAACAATTTAATTTATTTAAAAAAAAATAATCTCACAGGATAACAGAACAGACAAATGAAAAAAAAACCCGCTTCAGAAATAGTTGTGCTAGAAGAGCAAGACTGTAAAAGGGGAATAGATCAGTTGCAACACAGATAAGAACTTCAGCTGGGCAGTCAAGGTCTTTTGAGCAGCAGAACAAAGAAGCCTCTTGATTCAGTACAGTGTGTTCATTTGTCTTCCAGAGAAACTGAGCTGTCTGTCATCACAACTGCTTTACGCTTTTATCTGAGTTCAGATAACGAACAAACATTTGGTTCTCTTCGTTTCATGATATTTGGCTCAAAAACTCTTGAGGTAAGATTCCTTGGTTTACTTTTGAAGAGAGAAGAGTTAAAATAATGAAGAATATGTAGTATCAGAACAGTGATTTCCTAAGTAGTCCAATTCTTCTGATGGAACACCCTGAAGCACTAGTGTTGGATAATTTTTGTCCAGAGCTGCACAAGGGAATCAGCTGGAAAAAAGGTCAGTCTAGGACACAGAGAAAAATTTTCTATTTCCTTGCCTCCTGCACAACCCATTGCATTTGCACGAACAGCTAAATGTCTGCAGCCAAAACTGAGCATGCACTTGCATCCTGCTCTCCCAAAACAGAAAAGCACCACCTTATACATCGAACTACGGAAAAGCATTCCATGATTAAAAAAGCATGTGTAAGGTGAAAAATCATCTGTGTGCAAGAAATCATAGCAAGATTCTTGTCTCATTTAAGCTCCTCTTAAAAATTACTTAAATTAATTTTAAAAGATGTGTACTTTATTTGTTCATGCTTCAGATAAGGGGCAGAATTAACACAGTTAGACACAGGTCAAATTTGAAGTCAGGACCTATTAAGAGAACAATTCTGTCTTTCAAGGCAAAATGCAAGAGAAAAGTTATTTAAAATTACCAACCTCTATATAAATAAATACATACCCAAACCTTCTGACTCAAACAGGCAGGTATCATCCACCCCTACATCTCTGCACCAGGACAGGAAATTCGCTGTGTTGTCCCGTGCAAAAAAAGACCCTGAAGGAGCATTGGCTTTGCATGGAATCTTCCGTACTGGTAAGGTCTGAAAAACAGAAGTTCTCTATTGAAATAAATGATACATGCTAGCAAGTATTATGAAATCAATATGCAGGTTTTGCATAGATGGGTGATTGCCACCAACATATTTCCTTGTGGATTAAAGAATTCCAAGCAAACAAGAATGAGAAGGGAATTTAGCAGCATGAAGTTGTCACCCTTTGTCACTTTTGAAAAGTCTTTTCAAAAGCATCATGGTAGGCTACACAATGGGAAGTTCAGAGCTGAATCAATATTAGCAACTTCTTAGAAATATTAGCAACTAGAGTTTGGGGATTTAACGTTTGTTCCAGTTCACTGAATTAAAAAAAAAAAGTAAAAACTGTAAAGACAGACTTTAAACTTGGAACTGAACTTTCCCAAAATTAACGGTGAATTAGTTTCAGATCTACGTTAGGCAGGAATCATAGTGTAAAGCAATAGGTCTTGAGACCTAAAGACCATAAACACTTGAGAAAGGCCACTGTCTCCCGCTTAACAACACATGGAAAACCCCTATCCACAACACAGAAGTGTAATCTAGTAGCTACAAGATCAAGGTCTAACAGAGCCAGGCTCTCATTGTACCAGAGTAGTTCCATTTACACGATTTTGGTATCAGAGGAGATGCTACTGATACAGTATATCAATATCTGAACAGAACAAAGTAATTAAACTACCACAGCAAGCTTTTTGCTTGTATTGGTACATTTACTGAGACACATACAAAGAATACTTTAGCATTTAATTCTCATTTAAGGTTTCCTTTCCTCAAATGAAAAATAGCCGTCATTCATGGCAAAATGAAGAAAGAATGAAATATTGTTGCTATGTACCTTTAGAAATCTAAGCCATGGAGGAATTCAGACCCCATGTCGATCTGGACGTACTGCTTTTCTAACGCTGATTTATGAAATATTTGCTTCTGTTCTGGAGCCTGTAGTTAATGGCAAGTGAGCTAAGAGGTAGAAAACTGAAAGTGGTGTCTCTACTAGTTCCTAGATCTATGTCCAAAATTCTGATTTTAACAGTCCAAAATAATTCTTGGAAATGTGGAGAGGGAAAAAAAAAGACACAGGAGTAGGCTTCCCCTTACAACAGCTGCTGGTAGTATACTAATGTCAGTACTGAAAGACAGTTTAGAAAGAGCTTCTATATCACAGAACAGTTTGAGCTGGAAGCAACCTTAAACATCACCCAGTTCCAAACCCCCAGCCATGAGCAGGGACACCTTCCACTAGACCAGGTTGCTCCAAGCCCCATCCAACCTGGCCTTGAACACTGCCAGGGATGGGGCAGCCACAGCTTCTCCGGGCAACCTGTTCCAGTGCCTCACCGCCCTCACATTAGACATATGATAGCAGCAGTGTAATTGCAGAATACATCTACATGCACAGAACTACTCACATCTATATACCTGATGAACCAAATAAACTGCTAATAGAATGGCTACAGGAATAAACACCATTCTACTTATTTCATCAATACGTCAATGGGAGCTTATAAATTCTATTAGACATACACACATGCCTTATAAATGTTTAGACCTCTTCTTCAGATCACCATCTAGCTCTCCTTCCTCCGTGATTCTTATTCCAATCGCACTATTTCACATTCCCTTGTTTTCCAAAAATTATGCTTATGTTTCAAAGTATTTACAAGGAGATATTTTTACTTTTCTATATTGTATTAGCAGAAAACACTGACCAGTTTTACATGATATTTTAAAGAAAAATCCAAGTAAACCTTGTGTCACAAATACCACATCACCTCCTGGACCATCCTGAACAAGGGACAGGAAGGAGGAAGAAAGTAGGACAGCTGTTCACTAAATTCAGAATAAATAAAAATCCGTGAAACCTGAATTCTTCCAAGGGGCTCTAGATATGGAACAACCTTACAGATCAGAGCATGAGGAAGTTGTTAACCATTATTTTAAATTCCTTTTCATTTGTCGGCCTAGGGGAGCGGGGAGCAGGCTGTGCTCAGTTCCTCACAGACCAAGGCTGCTTTTTCTTGTCTTTTTTTTAATTAAAAAAAAAAAAAAGAAAGAAAGAAAAAAGCTGTTAGCCCTAGACACATTTCTAGACTAGCACCCTTTTCACATCACACTGATTTCTTCAAAGAAACAATGAGTATCCGTACCCTGAGGCAAATACTCATTATACTCTACACACTGCTTCACACGTTGAATTTCCCCTTGTGACTTACAGCCTTAAGAAAGAAGTAATGCAGCATTTGTTCACCTCTGCCCCCCACTCCTTTCTGAGGAGATTTTAATTGGGCAAGTCTAATAGTCTTAAAAGAGCACCCACTTCTGTTAAAAGGAGTCACACAAAATTCTCTGGCAGCCTGCTGGAGGAAGGTCAACTTAGTCCAGTCTGCATTTGGAGAAAAGCTGTCAAAACAAGCCTTTTGTTTCATGATTTTCTACTAAAATCTTACACAAAACATTGCAAAACCCTTAAGAGAGGTTTCTCCTTCAAAGTAATCTCCACAGCAAAGGTCTAACCTGACCTTACTTCCTCCAGTGCAGAAGAGGAACGAGCAGCATGGGCAAGGATGTTCGACTGGCTAACGGCAGCATGAAGTGAGACGGGAAACAGCAAGAGTTGGGCTGCTCCATCAGGGAAGATAAGCCAAAAGCCAAGGATGACCCCGGCACAGGCGGCGGCAGCTCTCACTGGCAACGGTGCAGTCCCGCAGCAGCCAACTAAGGCAGTGCTGGTGACAGAACCATCTGTCCTGTGACAAGATGAGGTGATAAGGCAGCTCTAGTGTCTGTTCAGGAAAACAAGTCAGAAAACAGCAGAAGACAAGGCTGGACACGAGGCTACGGCAGAAGCTGAGGCTCTAGCCATGAAGCCCAGGCAGCACGAAGTAAGGCTGGAGATGGTCTGTCCACAGCGTGGCTCAGGCAAGAAGCGGACCTGAGGTCAAAGGGACCTCCTGGGCCACGGGCAGAGGGAGCAGGTTGTGGTCCCAGGTGAGGCTGGTCATGACTATTACAGTATTTTGGTTCCCTCAGGTCCTGACAGCAACTATTCCGTGGTTTTTAGTGTTTCAGTGGAAACAGTCCCTTCGGGAATACATAGCTGGGGTTTATAATCAACTCTATCTTGTCAGCAGATTCAGAGAGGTGCCATTTCATAACACTGTATCTTAAACTAATAACATAAAACATCCACTGTACATGCAACATACTGGATCACATTCTCACAGAACCAAATTACCAGCAGCTACAAATTGGTTTAACACCATTCAAATCAAACAGAATGAAATTCTTTTCCCATAATACCTCTGCTTGGACTAGAGTATCTGAAGCGATACGTGGATGTTGGAACCAACTGAGTTAACAGGTCAACGTAAGGAGACCAGAAAATTGTATCTGATAAAACTAAACTACACTCTTTGGAATTTTTGAATGATCACGTCCAACTTAGAGCACAAATCATGGACGACCTTATAATGGATTAGCAGCACTGTGACAGGAACAAGAGGACAAGAAGCCAGCTCCAGTATTCCTCGCACTCGCAGACTTGTGCATAAGCTACTTCAGAGAGCATGGAAAGGAGATAAAGCTACAGTTACTTTTCGCCTCAATGCAGACCTGCAGTGTTAAATCTTGTCACCTCCCGGTTCACTCTTCAGTTCTCGTTTCTGGATTTTCCACAGAGCCTATATGTTACTTTGCTCTCAGGCTCTCCTTTGCAGAAAACTAGCGAGTCTTCTCCAAGACAAAAACTGTTTATAACCCCACAAACAGCTCAGAAGGGCATTACAGGTGAAATCGTACCAGGTTTGTTTTCTTCCACTCAGTTCTCCAATTCCAGCCCGGGGGATTCTGTGCTGCCACTTCCCCTGATAACCAGCCTATACTCTTTCATGTCGTGCTAAGGGTATTGAACACTGTTCTGGAAGTCTGTGATAAAAGCCTCGTATTATTTCAGGAAATTTAGGAAGAAACCACAAAAAAAAGAAATATTGTGCTATATGGCTGGTGGCTGGCATCTGGCAATCAGATGAGACTTGGGCCCAAGTGTGGGCACAACCAATCTGCTCTACTCAGCCCTGAGCCCACGGGGCAGGAGCAACTCTGCAGCACTGGTCCTGGAGACCCGGAGCTGCTCCTCGGCACGGATGCCCTCAGCAGTACAAAAGCAGCTAGAAGCGAGGAGATAGCCAGAAGAACCCGCACTGCCTTTCTTTTAAGGGGCTATCGGGAAGGCATTGCAACGCCTGGCAGGAATGCAGAAAACTCTAGTTTTCCCCTGGGTCGCTGCTGCTCCCCAGTACTAACACCACGTGAATAAATCTGGTTCTAAATATTTTATGTCTTCTGATTTAGGTAGATCGTAATGACTGAATATAGACATGCTTTCAAGAAAAGCAATTCAGAACAGATGGTTTATGTGTCCGAAATCTATGCAGTTAAGAGTCACCAAATAAACCACCTAAAACTCCATGTACGTAACGGAATATCCATAAATTACGCTTCTAGACCTTGACAACTAAGACAGACCTTTAAATACATCAGTCAACCTAGCTTCACTGCGAAGCTTAGACATTCATGGAGCTTGCAATATTTCTTTCATAATTATAAAGATTACAGCATCTTTTAGAAGTACATTTTGGTAGTAAAAGCTACCAACAGCAAATAGTAAGAGCCTAGGCACAGAACTATCCCACTTAACTAATCAAACTTGTGATATTTTCTAGTTTCATAGTGACAGAAAAGATGTCTGATTAATAGGTGCCCTAAACAACTCAGAAGTGACAAACACCCAAATGTAAAAACAAGGCATGTCCTGGACTACAGAAGGAAAAAACCCTACATTATTGAAGGAAAAAGAGAAAAAAAAAAAAGCTTTAAGTCATTTTATGGAACAAATACTACGCAGATAAATATCCCTGGCATCGCATGATCTCACTAAGAAGTAGCATTCTATATTTCATCCCATTTCCCACAATATTAGGGTCTTGCTGAAGAGAACAGCAAAAAAATCT